TCTGAACTTCCTAGCAGGAGGGGCATTTTCTTCTGTCCCTTTCCTGGTCCATGCTTGCAGCCTGGGCCTCTCCATCCCATCCCCCTCCCCCAATCCCCCCACAGTTGTCCCTGACTCTGGGAACACATCCAGTCTCCGTCTAGGTGCAGAGCCCCCTGAGGGCCACAGCCACTCTCCCTGGGGCCTGTAGGAGTGGGAGCAGCTTCTGACAGGTCTGCTCAGGGGGTTTCTGCATGTGCACTTTTATTTACTGAACGAGGAGAAGGGAGGGTCACAGCTGCATGCCCGGGCCTTTCTGTCCACTGCCCCATCACCAGTCGTGCCCACTGAGACCTGCCAGTGCAGGTCAATGTCTTCTTTACTGTACTTCTACTTTATTCTTGAGGGTAGTGGCCAGGGATCAAGAGGGGCAGATGTCTACTCTGCAGCCTGTCCCGGGCAGGGTGGAGGTGAACAGCAATGTCCTGACTCATGAGCCCCCACTGGCCTCCTCAAACTACACTCCATGGACAAAACTAGGTTCCCATGCCACAGTCTGCCTGTCCATCTGCCTTCAGTATGAGAGCGAGGACGTCATCGGCTGCCCACATCATATGGCCCCCTGCAGGTTTCTCTTGGGGAGCAGCTTTCCCCCACCAGCAGCCTGGGCTGGCTGGGGCTTTAGCCAAGTCACCTGTTTCCAGGGACTAGAGCCTCAGTTTCCTCCTCTGATAAATGACCAGATTGAGCAAGTAGCTCTGGGGCCATCTCAGTGATCTAATGTCATTGGTCCCTCTGGGCTCCCCATGCCGTGGTGGCCTGGGCCCCAAGGGGAAAGCTAGCTTCAACGGGAGGGGTAGAAGGATGGGGAATATGCAGGGGATGCCTTGCCTGCCTCCTTGAGGAGGATGGCATTCCATGTCTTCTGTCATGAAGCGCCTTTCTTGAAGTTTGGCAATAAATCCCTTTTTATGGAACTTCTCTGCCGCAAGCCTGTTTGTTGGTGTGGGGACGAGCTCCAGGGCTGGCCTCAAGGAAGCAGAGGGTAGGCCGTCGTTGGTCAGTGGCATCACTGGTCCTTCAAGCTTCATTCTAGGGCTCCCCTCCCATAGGCTGGGTCCCATCTTTGCTAAACTCAGCTAGGCCCTCCAGTTTTACCCCCTCCCCACCCCTGCCTACATTGTTTCTACAGGCTGGGAGCTAAGTGTCATAAGGAACAATGCTTTTCAATTTTTAGAGATTATTTGGAACAGAAAAGTTGCAAGAATAAGAACAGTACAAAGAATACCTACGTGTTCTTTATCAGATTGACCCACTGGTTTATCTTCTGAGTGCTATCTTTAACAAATGTAATTTTTTTCTGAATCATTGAGGAATTCGTTTTCATGGTCCCTTATCCCTAAATACTTCACTGAGCATTTCCTAAGAGTAAGTATATTCTTTCATGTAACCATAATACAGTTATCAACTTCAGAAAATTTAACACTGGTATACTTATTATTGCTCTTACTCCAGTTTTGTCATTTGACTCAATAATCTCATATTTTTCCTTCGGTGTAGGCTTAAATATTACATGTCTCTCTAGTCTCCTTTAATCTGAAATGTTTCCACAGCCTTTATCTGTCATGATGTGGATACATTTGAAGAATACAGCCCTTCCTCCCCCTTCCCCCTTTTAAAAAGATTTATTTTAGAGAAAGAAGGAGAGAGAGAGAATCTCAAGCAGACTCCCCACTGAGCACAGAGCCCAATGTAGGGCTCCATCCTACTACCCCAAGATCATGACCCGAGCCAAAAATAAGTCGGGCACTCAACCAACTGATCCACCCAGGCACCCCCACCCTTTTTAATAGAACATTCCTCACTTGGGGTTTGTCACTGTGAGGTTTCCTCATAATTAGATTGAGGTTATGGATTCTCAGCCAGAAAACTGCATAGGTGATAGTAGGTCCTTTTCAGGACATCGCATCCGGAGACGTATGACCTTCATTCATCCCTCATTGGTGATGTCAATTTTGACCTCCTGGTCAAGGTGTCTGATTTTTCTATTGTATACTTATGATTTTTTCTCTTGCAACTATAAACAATCTGGGAGATATTTTAAGACTGCACAAATATGTTTCACCTCATCAAAGTTTCCCTGTAGATTTGGTATTCATTGATGATGCTTGCCTGAACAGGTGTTTCCTATGATGGTTCAAAATGATTCTAGCTGTTACTTTAACCTCAGAGCCTGTCCTGGTTGGGGGTGAGCCTGGGCCCTGCCTACCACACCCCTAATACATCTCAGCAGGATCCCAGGGCTTCGCTGAGTGCCCTTTGGAAGCCCCTGGGCCAGTGTACAGAGATCCAATTCAAACTGCCAAGGTTCAAGTCCCATTGAGACACCTTGGTGAGTCTTAGCCTCTAGTTTACTCACCAATGAAAAGGAGATGTACAGTGTCCCTACCCCTGATGTGAAAAAGTACTGCTGGGCTCCCCAACGGCTGACTCCCTTCCTCCTGTGAGGGCTGCTGGACAGGGCTGGTGGCCAACATAACAGGAAGCACCTGACCAGGGCCTATTGCCTGGCAATGACCTGCCTGAATTCCCCTGCCACTGGCCTCTGTGTCACAGCCATACTGAGTGAGTGGCCTGTAGAGCTGGGGGGCCCTAGGTGAATCACTTCATCTTCACAGGTCCCTTATCTCTGAGAAGGAACCAAGGTAAGGGAGAAGAACTCCTTTATTGGTAAGCGTGTCCCGGGACCCTGGCCCAAGAATGAGGTCCCCTCTGGAAGGCCACCTTGGAGAGGGCGGTTGCGGGGAAGGTCTTAGTAGCCAGCCACAGGGCTGAGGAAGGATATGGTGAGAATCTTCCCTCTGGTCTTGGGGGCTGGGGGCCTGTGTGGAGAAGAGGAGGTCTTTTTTTTTTTTGGACTACTGGCCGCAGTATCTCAATGGCCTGAAGTGCTGTGGGTAGTTACGATTCACGGTTTTACAAACCACAAGGTGGCCACATTCTGACAAGACCCAGGACAGAGAAGGAGGGATTGTTGGGGCGATGGGTAGCATCTGGATTGCCTCTCCCTCTGCCCCCACCTGAGCCTGGGCCCTGGAAGCTCTCTGTGTCTTTCTGGAGCTATTGTGTTTTGTCCCAACTCCAAGTCCTGTCTTCCTGCCTTCCAACCTTTACTCTCGTATCCCTGACACAAGACATGTCAGAAATAGGAGACTTGGCTGTCAGAAAAGGCCACATACACTCACTTAAGTGGAGGTTATGAGGAGGGTCTGCGGGGGAGGTGGGAGGAGATGGTAGAGAGATGATGGTAAACATTCCTCCCTGTTGTCATAATTTTATTAAAGGAAAAAAATCCTGGAGGAAGTAGCAGGGTATAAGCAGAAAAAACCATGACTTTAGATTCGGAGGCAGACACATCTAGATTCAAGCCCAGCCATGAATGAGTGACCTTAGGCAAACTGCCTCAGTTTTTCCTGTCTATAAAATAGGCTAATTCTTCCTTCTTCACAGGGTTACTGTGGAACACTTAGCCCATGGCCTGCCTCATAGATAATGTTTAATAAACCCCAATGGCCTGGCCTCACAGGGCACATCCTATTTGGCAGGCCTACATTGACCTCCCATCGTCACCACAGTGGCCTCATGAAGAAGATGTATTTATGTTCACTCCATTTACAGGTTAGTAAACTGAAGTTTAAAACAACTTGCCCAGGAGACCACAAGTTAGTGCCAGGACCTGGGATTTGACCCCCTGGGGTCCTGGCCTGGGGCCACCATGGGCTTCCTGCTTTTTCTCTGGAGAGTCTGACTTCAGATGGATGCTGAGCCCAGGGAACCTCTGGCAGACCTGAGGCTTGGGGCATCCCCACCTTTGCTGGTGCCTGGAGGATACCCCAGGCTGGCCAGGCTCTCCACCAGCCAGCCATGGCCCAAGTGAGAGGCTCAGGAGGCCCTTCCCTTATAAGGACAACAACTCAGCTGTGATGAAACTTTTCTGCCTCCCAGCTGGGTGGGCGGAGGAAGGGAAATGACAGGCTCCAACAGCTCAGCTGAGCTTGAGCCTCCGCAGGAACTCGCCCACAGCCTCCCCTCTCCTCTTCCTGTGTTGCGCTGTGAGAGGCTTTCCAGAGGGTCCCACTGGCTGGAGGGGGGAGGCCACAGCAAGTGGCCCAGGGAAGCGAAGATGTGCAAACTGAGGCCAAGGGAGGGGACAGGACCCTTGAAGGCCCAACAGGACCCTTGAAGGCCCAACCCTTGAAGGGGAGAGGACCCTTGAAAGCCCAACAGGACCAGTCTTCAGACTGGTCAGTGCTATCTTAGGGCCTGGGAAAGGGGGCTGGAGGAGGCTCTTGGGCAAGTCTCTCTCTCCCCTTGGCCCCCTCAGATCAAGTCATAAAGGGGAGGGGGCTGGTCTGCTTGCAGCACAGCATAACCCTATTCCCTTCTTCCCATAGCTGTGTCCTTAGGGTACTGTTCTCCTCAACAAAAATCACCAGCCAACTATCCACCTGAGAAGCTAACCATGGAATCACAGGATATCAGGACTGACAAGGATCTTGAGACCATCTAGTCCGTCCCACTGAGTTTAGAGAGGAGGAAGTAACAGCTCAGTGGGAGGACCTGAACTTGCCCGTCAGTTGTGTTAAAATATGTGTGTGTGTACACATATATATGTATATATGTGTATATCACATATTTAAATTGGGAGGAGGGGCTTTCTCTTGGTTTCCTATTAAAAGTTTCTTTTTTGGGCGCCTGGGTGGCTCAGTCGTTAAGCGTCTGCCTTCGGCTC